GAACGACTTTTAAACGTTAAGTGAGCGTGTGAGCGTGTATCTAACGTTAGGTCGTTAATCTGACGTTAGTCGCACGCTTTATGTGCGCTAAGGGTACGTTCAGCGGTCGTTGACAGGTCGCTAGTGAGTTGTTCACTGCAAAGCGAGCGATTGGTAACAACTAAGTAACGCTAGAGCAACGACTGACTAACGATTGTCGAACGCGTCGAACGTTAGCAAAACGATCGAAGAACGTTATTTAACGTTTAACAGCGTTTAAAAATAAACGTTGAAGAACGCTGGTCTCAAATGAGAACTTTTGTGCATGTTCAAAACTTTTTTTTGGATCAGCGTTCTCCGCCGATTCCCGACGATCAGCAACGATTACCGACGTTCACAAGCGTTCATGGCGCTCTTCTGGCGCTGTCCCAGCGACTTTGGGCGACTACCAACGTTTCCTCGAACGCCAGAGAACGCTAGCCAGAACGTCATGGTGTGACTGCGCCTTCACATTGCTCTAGAATAAGACATGGCTATCTAGTCATATCTTGCTATCACAAGACCTGATTTCAGGTAGTTTCATGTGTAACATACGTGCTGTTTTCTATTTTTAGCAACAAAGGGAAAATCCAAGTGAGTAGTAATAAATAAAGGTCGTTGTCATAACATTGTACGGAATTTATATAGCAACGGGGGAATCCCCATTAGTCTATCTGGCAGAAGTGTACGCCGATTGTTGTTGATACGCGGAAAACTCCACGTTTCAGAAAATGTCTGTATATAATTCAACAAGTATGTAACAGCAAATACATGTGACTGGAGTGAATACAGTTTTGTTACCGGCTGTTGTTTCCAACGGTGTATGATTGGAGCAGAAAACAACTCGTGGCCCAGGGAACAAACATGCCAGAGGCGGCGGCACTAAATTGTGCACGAGGCGGCGAGATCTGCTCATAAACCTTGCGCCGAAGACGCGACCTTACTAGGTGGCATGCCCCCTTCTTACAAATTTTGAAATCTAGACTGTCTGAAACGCTATTCCCTGCATTTTGAGGGGACCATTTTTTCGAGGGGACGATTGCCCCTCTGAACCCCCCCCCCCCCTCCGTGCCGCCGCCACTGCATGCGTGTATGTTGAGAGGGGTTAGGAATGATATACGCAGCGAACCTGCATCTAATGGAATGATACAAACAGATAACATGCTACGTGTATGTTTTTGAGGGGGGTAGTACCCACATAAAACAGAACATGTATATAAAGTCGGTTAATTTGTAGAATGGCGGACATTTTTTAACTATCTAGTCACTGCTATATACGATGAGTGAACACATTACATCGGGAATTAGTTGCAAATTAAGAATAAATAAAATCATTAAATTATACCAGTTATATATATATTGTAGTATTTTAATAATACCACTGGGTCTTCCGGTCGCTCTTGTTCGCTCGAGCTTCGACAGGTTTGCGATGCCGGCCCGATGCTGTGCAAGGGTACAACATTATTCGACAATCATTGGTTATCATGGTGTCAAATGTGTCGGCATCTAGAAAATACACAACTTTGCTATTAGGAATAACATTTCGCTAGTTGTTGGTTGCCATGCTCGTTCTAATTTTTAAGTCGGCCGAGGAAACCCCTCGTTGCACCGTTATCTCGTTCTCTTTCCCTCTTGCAAAAGTTTACAAACTCTATATTACAAGTAAAATCTCTAAGGCGTGCGATGGTTTACTGCCCCAGTATAAACTCTCGCCAAATTGGCGATGCACGGGATAGTTGTTTTATGTATACTTATACACTGACTGCTTTAATTTAATTTGAAGTACTAGGCAAATCAACATACACTATATGTGGAAACTGGCCACTCACAAGCCATGGCCACACATGTT